AACCCCTAAACAAGGTGTTGAAATAGCTATTTCAAAAGAGTTCATCTCTCCTTCATTCATTTCCACTTTGTCCTCGCTCGGTTTATCGAAAAACGCGACATTTAACAAAATGCGAGCGTCGGGACATCGTAAAAACTTTATTTCAAAAACGTTTTTGAAAGAGAGGGTTTCAAGGTCTAAAATCTTTTGATCAAGATTGTTTTGGTCCGAAAAGGGGTATAAAGTTGAGATTTGACTCTCTCTCCTTGCCGAAGAAATTGAACCTTTGCCCTGCACATCTTTCAAAACCATCAGTCGCGTCCAAGTCATAAAGGCGGTCAAAAATAGGGTGTCTACAAACATGCATGTTCATTTTTGAGCTAAGGCCCTCCAAAACATGATCAAATGCTACTAAATAACATAAAACTCATTGTGTTTCCAAAATTAAAGTGAACCCAACACATGCATGAAGGAATTCTTGAAAGTCAATCTTCAAAATGCTATGAAACATACATGCATGCATGGATTGATCTACTTCCCTACTCCTTAAGCTTGATTCTCACATCATATGACTCAATTTACTTGAACTCATGCATGAACCAACACAACTTCAAGGCTAAAGGCTTGGTTCCATACCTTAGATGATCTATTGGGCTTTAGGTGCTAGAATCTTGAACTAGATGAACAAAGCTTCCAATTTTCATGTTTTCTCCTAGCAATTCTTTCTATGTGAATTCAATTCTTGAACTAGGACCCAAATCCCTCAACTCACTCTCTCTCTCTCTCTCTCTCTCTCACATTTTGCATCAAGTTGAGGAAGAGTGAATAAATAGAACATAAGCTAGTGGAGTCAAAATGGCCTCGTAGGTAGTAATTTAACAAAACTGATCAAATGGCATTATTTTAATCAAAGTTAATCGCTCCGAACCAAATTTTAATTAAACCTACCATAAATTTCTATAACTTTTAATTAGCACATAAATCAAGTCAATTTCTGATTCGGACGCCAATAAGGCTTTCAATTCGCAAATCGAAACTAAAACATGAACAGATTTTCATACGCCTAACTGATATAAACACAAACAATGTAACACGCATGCAGTTTAATTCAGAATTTCACCTTAATCACTAATTAGGCACAATTAATCACGGATTAACGTTAGTCAGAGGTCGGGATTGTTATAGGAAGTTTTCCCGGCAATTACAACCCTATGAGACGAGAAAAGTACAACAATAAAAGCTCAGAAAAAGTTTATAGCTTTGATGGTATTTTTAACTCAGAGAAGATTGACTTTCTAAGGGTAAATTTCTTTAAAAAAATGACAAAAATAATAAAAACTGTTTGTTATTTTTTCGGGACTGAACTTCCGAACATACTACTGAAATTTAGGAACATAGGCGTGAACATTGTTCATTTGTTTGGGAACAGGTGTTCATTTGTTTGGGAACATATAACCGAGACTCGTGGAGATCGAACAACTTACAAAAAGGGAATTTTGAATTAATAATAAAAAATCATACATTTATTTTTTCAGGTCATGAATAAGTATGTGGAGATAAAATAGTAATAACTTTCATGGGTTTTATTGGGGCTTGTACATTTAATTGAATAAGTGGAATATTTTTATAAGAATAATTTTGATATTATTTGAAGAAAAAAATTGTTTTTAAAGATTTTAAAATTTATTAGTAAGGATTAAAAAAAAAATAAAGAATCTAAAATAATTAATTAGGGGCTAATAGCAACTCTTTTTTGAAAAAATAAAAAAATAAAACCGGAGTCGGTGCCAACCCCGTCTACTCTTTATACAAGAGAAAGCTAGGGTTACAGAGTTCAATTGTTAACGCTCGACGATTATTTTCTCTTCACCAGGTCTCTCTCTCTCTCTCTCTCTCTCTCTACTTCGTTTTGAATGTGTTTTGTATATATTCTGATATATATATCGTATTCATAATCTTGATTGTATCACCGTTGATTTCTCGCATTTACATTTTGAGTATTTATACGTCTCTAATTTTGATAATTTTACTTTTTTAATTAAAATTTGTTTTTATCTAAGAATTAGCCTTGAGGATAATTTATTCTTTCATTGTGAATTTCCATCTTTGAGATTGTTGAAGGAGTTACATAGAGTTTGGGCCTTTTGTGAATGATTTTTGGTGTTAATGTAAATTGTAAATTGTGTAAATTACCACACCACCAACTCCACCTACCATCTCCACTACCACCCACCACCTCCACTACCATCCACGACCACCACTCACCTACCTCACCTACTCCCAAATCCTCTCCTATATAATAGCTTGTAATATACATTAATCAATACAACAATGCAATCAATAATAATACATCAGTTATTTTACATTTGGTATGAATCATCAAATCTTAACAATTTCAGTAAATTACCAGGTAGTTCGCACCCCAAGTTTAATCTTTGATTTTTTTTTTTTTTGTTTCTATTTCTCTTTCTCTTTCCTAATTTCCATGAATATAGAGAATTTATATAATGAGTTAATTACACTAAAACCCACTCAACTATTTGCAAATATATCATCTTAACCCTTCATTTATGAACCCCGTACATTTCTCAATCAGTTTAACCCGGGCATTTGTATAGTTGAGGTTGAGGGGTCAAAATTTATGAGATCATAGATGAGGTGATATACGCTCGTAATTGATTTTTTTAGGATATAATTAACCCTTCTTAATTACATGCAGAATATAGTCAGTCTTGAAAAAATTTAAATTATTAAATTAGTGTTAATTGGAAACTATTCCTAATCTAGGGCTTTTTGGCTACATCATATCACGCAGGCTTTAGAAGAAATCCTAATTGATCCTTTGGTTCAACTTCACCCTGTGGAGCGTTTGTAGAAAATACAAAGCTAACCTTTGGAGTAAAGGCTTTAATTGGTTTTGTGTCATTGTGCAAATAAAAATTTTCTCAATTTTGGTGGCTTTGCCAAATACTATACAACAAAAGCTTCCATTTTAAATTACAGCTCTATTCTTTTCTAATACCTCAATCTTTGGTAGAGGTTTTAAATGTCTCCGTCTCCAATTAAAGTGGAGACTTTTTGTATTTGCAGAATGACACAAAACCTCCACACTTGAAAGTTTAAAAGCCTCTAGTTGAAGTGAAGGTTTTACTTAAAAATTCTTTTGTTCACCCACTCTTATCTTTTACATGGCTAATGATGTTGCAAAATGGACTTTAGATTGGCAAATAGTTTATTATTATAGTAAAAAACTTGATGAATCAGGAGAAAATATTTGGTGTTCTTGGGGCAAATTCCCCAACAACCCCAGGAGCATACATTAATTTTCCATGATCAGATTATTTGATCCATAGATTGTTTATTTGGATTGGGTTTCAAAATAGAATAAATGTAGGGTTTAGCAAGTTTGATCAGGTAACTTTGTGTTTATCATCATTTATTAAGGTTGCACTATCTAACTTTGTTTTGTGTAAAAGTAATTTGCAATAAACTTCTACATCATATTCCATATTAAAACAAAAAGTATTTTTGCATGTTCAAGCTCTTTTCTTCATGTGCTCAGTATTGTGGTTCTCTCTCTCTCTCTCTCTCTCTCTCTCTCTCTGTGTGTGTGGCAAAGTTTCTCTGATTTTCTTACTTTCTCTTTTAATTTTTTTTTTTTTTTTTTGGGTAAAGAAAGTTAGGAAGAAGTCACATTTCATGCACTAATACACTTAAATCTTTCCTAATTTGTCTTATAGTGTTCCCAAGAGTAGTGCCTTCACAATGAATAACATTTTAGATTCTTAAAATAATGTATGTCGGGAGCGTGTTGCCATGGCAATCCATTCCTATTTTTTCTTATAGAGTTCCCACATCTTTTCAAAGGTTAGGGCCCCCACAATGGACAACATTGTAGATTCTCTAAAGATTGCATATCAAGAGTTTGTTGTCGCAGTAGCTAGCGTGCTTGCTGCCAAGGATAGTTCCGGGGGTCAAAAATCAGCAGATATGGATGTTGCTCTGGAAAACTTCAAGCAGCGTTGGGAATTGTTCCGAGTTGCTTGCGATCAAGCTGACGAGTTCGTGGAGTCTGTTAAGCAAAGGATAGGCTCAGAGTGCTTGGTTGATGAAGCCACTGGTTCAGTGGATGGAAAGCGAGGGCAGGCCGTCACAACAGGTATTCTACCAATTAGTGCAGTTCGGTTGGAACAAATGAGTAAAGCTGTCCGATGCCTGGTGATTGAATTGCAGCAGCGTTCTGGAACTGCTGGTGGTTCATCACATCCCCACCCTTATGCTACTTTTGATGCTAGATTGTCTGATGCTGCAGCTCAATAGGTATCCTGAGAAATCAAGTCATCTATGTTCTTGAATTTTTTCTTGGAAATAGATCTGATTTTTACTGCATCAGTGCAAGTAATTAGCTCAAATATTGCTGGTTAGCTCTGTGAACAAAATTTTAGCAGTTATTGTACTGCCTGCTAAGAAGCATGGACACAAACATGCCGGCATAGAAAATTTCAAAAAATGTAGGACATAACACGTGGATTATGTCATAGATAAGGATAAATAATTATTATATGTCATATATGAATATTTAAGTAAAAAATAATGCTTTTTATTTTTTTATGGAAAAAAATAATTTGAAGGAGGGGAATAGATATAATTTATATTATATTTGTTTTATCATTGGATTTCAAGTTCTTTTATTCAAAATTGTAATGAGTATGTGTGTTTAAGTGTTGGGCAGTGTCTGACAAATGGAGTGGAGTGTCGGTGTCAGACACGACACATTACCGTCTTTGAAATGTCTTTGCTTCTTAGACTGCAAGCCAATCCAGGTGTCCAATGGGTCAGTCTGCGTGTCCCAATTGACCATCAGTCACGGCCAGAAACATTGGTACAAACACTTGCATTGTTAAAGTGCACTTAAGTTTTGTTTAAGTAAACGAGGATGAAGTGTTGCTCTGATGTTTCTAATGTTCTCCGTAGATTTGATCTGCTGCATTATGTATTTCAGTTAGGAAACATCAAAATCACTTTGGGTAGTCATAATACTTCCACTGGTATGGGAACAATTGGAATTGTGAGGAACGGGATGACCAAAAGAATACCCAGTAAGCATAGAAATCCAAACTTAAGTGAGCTTTCTAAGCTAAGTTTAAGATGAATTCCATACCAATATCTGTGGAAAATGGAGGTGAAGGCATCAAATATGTAGGGGTGAGCGCAAATTTCCTTATCTGATAGATGCAGTCTATGGGGTAGAGGCCCTAGGTGAACTTTAACCGCAGTATTTGATTTGATTCAATGCATTTTAGACTACCTGGATATCTGTTTCCAGGGCTAACAGATGCTGTTGATTTTACTTGATGATGACAGTTTTAGGTTGGAAAAGGTCAGGAAATGCAGCTTTGCTGGTTCATCAAAATCAAAGTCGACCATTTTCTCTCCTGATGTTCCTGAATGCATCACAAACATGAACTATGTACACATCATTAAGACATTTTGGAAAGGATTTAATTTTCATGGTGTTTAGAAAGGTTTCCTTCTTATTTTTTTTCCTTCTCTTTTCTTTTCTGATCTTCTTTGTTTTGAAATTTTTTTTTAAGCCGAAGGTGCAACTGTTAGGTTCATTGATCATTAATACTACTTCATTGTCATCGGCAGTCATATTATCTTATAGCTATTATCATCTGTGTTGTTGGTTGGTGATTTTTGGGTACAGATCTTGCCTTTGGAGACGTAGTTGAAGCAATTTTGGCACGCTAAGTGACTATTTTTGAAGATGCAAATGGCATTTATGTACAGAGGAAGCCAGGAAGGTATACTAGCTCCAATCATCCTTTTTCTAGTTTTATATTACCCAGAGAAAAAGAACCCTTATTTTATCAGGGAAAAAATAAAATAACAGTTTCTTGTTTCAAAGAGTTTAGATTACTTTTGTTACATATTTTCCTTTGAAGATACAGATTTGTTCTGTTGATAATTGCTGGCTGGTTGAATTTTTTTCCTTTTCTTCACTTGGCTTTTGCTTCTGCTATTTCCTTGTCATTTCCCCCTCTTGCAAACAAAGCATGTATCTCTTTGGTCTGGCTGAGGTATTGTTCAATCAAAGTTCCAAAGATGATCTCCTAAGATGTGTTTGGATGGTGAAGTCAAGTAGAAATTTGGAAAAGAAAATGTGAGAAAAATTTGAATGACATATAAGCTAAAAATAATTCCCAATTCTCACATTTTCCTTTCTTTTTCTATTTGTACCCACTCACTCACCCAAAATCATAATATGAACACACTGTTGTAGTATGGTACATGGATCAGACAGATTCAACAGGGCTATATAGAAGCGAGCTTTACGCTATGTTTGGATAATGAATTTGGAAAAAGAAAGAGAAATTAAGAAAAAAATTTAGTTTATATTTTATTCACATTTCATTCATCTTTTATCTATCTCTTTCCAGATCTCTATCTAAATTCATAATCCAAACATAGCCTTTGAGTTGGTCAAAAAAGGAAATCAAACACTCTAGCACTTAGGCTCACATCTGTTTGGTTGAGGTTTTTTTATACAGTTTGCTGAATTTAAAAAAATAAATAAATTAGTTTAGTATAAATAAATAAATAAAAATCACTCATTATTTTGATATGATTTTTTTTGGGATAGAATTAAATTTTAAAAATATCTTCTTCTTCTTTTTTTCTTTTTTTTTTGTTTATATTTTTGAAACTAGTTTCTAGATTTTTTTTTTTTTTTCCTCTAAAAAAAAGAATTCAAAAAATAAGTTTTGAATACTTAGCCAAACAGAATTGTGCTGGCACTCCTAGGACTTGGTTGATTGTCCGGATTAGATATACCTTCTTAGGAATTGGGGATATAAGATGAACTCTATGATCATGTTTGTTTGGGCGGACTGGATTAGCATTTCCATGACTAATAGTTGTAGGATTACAAATTCGTGGATTATGTATCTTATCTTAACTAATAGTCAAGTTTAAAATAATTAATCCGTACTACAATTGTTTAACCAAACATCGGATTAATAATTTTATTTGACTATTAGTCTAATCCCAAGCTCATGTCCACCCAAACAAACATGGCATATATGTGTTTAAGATATGGGAGCGATTATATCTACTAGATCATTTTTACTGCGTTTGGTTATGGTTAGATAGAAAGAGAGTAATACTTTTTTACTGTTATATAACAGATTAGCTAAGGGACAACAAAAAAAAATAAATGGGGCCCATTGGATATTTAGTCCTTTTTATCTTCTTATATCTTGCAAACAAACAAGGCCTGGATCTTTCTTGCGCTAATCGGGCACCCTGAGACCAATAACTTTTATTTTAATGACAATATGTGGTATGGTGATTATATGTTTTTAACAAATAAATATAAATAAACTAATACACATGTGATTGTGGTCATATTAAGGCCAAGATTGGGAAGATAAGAAAAAGTTAAAAAGTCAAAAAATTATTTAAAAAGTTAAAAAGTTAACACTATTCATCAAAAGTCAACAATTATGGTTGCATAATTCTCAATTTTAATTTTCCCTTTGTAGGAGAGGGTTCAAGAAAAGAGTTGGAAAATTCGAAGATCCTTGAAGAACAACTTCGAATTCTCTAGAATATGATGAGAGGCTTAGATTCTTCAATAATCTCAACTTAGGAACATAACAACAAAGGAGATGATGGAGATAAGAGATTGAGTGAAGAAGGCGGCAAAATGGCTAAAGAATAGAATAATGGCAAGGCTCTCCCATGAATCTCCCACTTTCACTCTCAAGGTTGATAATGGAGAGGGGAAATTAGTTCTTTTCCAAGAGTTGAAAAATTTCCAAAATCCATCTCTTGTAAAGCTATGGGTGGGTGCTATTTATAGGCACCCCATGATGTAGGATGGAGCCCATGTGCAAGGCACATGGGGGATATTCTCTCTAACCACCTTGTCCGAGGAGGTGACCTCTCCGAGGAGGTGACTTCTCCGAGGATGAAAAAACCCCGAAGAGGAGATCAACCTCTCGGCGAACCCTTCTTCTTAGCTACACCTAACCAATGATCTCCAATCATCCCAAAGGGTCAGGGGTAGTCCCAGAGGACGTCCTGCCACAAAAAATATTGCCGAGTCTCATGGACCCCCCGGGGTTGTGCCACCTCGACCCGGGTATAGGCTAGTTTAACCGAAGAGTGAATTTGTCTCCACTCACCGTCCTCGGGATCGGGTCCTTTGTTCGAACTCCATTACGCCCATGGTTCTGGTGCGTAGATCCCGGAAAGCTCCGAGCCTGTAAGTGTTTTGGGACTCATTAACGGAGCGACTTCTAGATTGCGTCTGAATCCGTTCGAGGCCAAGTATTTCGGACCTCTAGGTTCGTGGATCCGAACCCTTTCGAGTCCGAGTGCCTCGGATCTCTAGGCTTGCCTAATACCCTTTCGAGTCCGGGCCCGAGTAAGTCTCTAAGTTCGTGGATCCGAACCCTTTCGAGGCTTAGAGCCATTTTAGCCTGTCTGATGACGATAAATCTGGGCCCGCCAGTCTTGGACTTGCGATAAATTCGGGCCCACTAATCTTGGGCTATTGGGCCTAAATAATTTAGTGGGATCAAATTAGCCCCTCTTACATTTGCCCCTTGCGTGTATGAGAAATTTTAAATTTCTCAGACATGCATATTGTCATTTCTTCGGCCCCGTTTCGCATCACGTTCCCCAAAAAAAAAAAACATTTTGTCACGACAGAGCCTATGGATAAAGTTGATGACGCACTTCAATTTACAAAAAAATATACAGATAACATTGACAAGTAACATTAATAAATAAACTCTTTTTTTTTTTTTGAACTCTTTCACTGATTTTTTTATTTTTTATTTTTACAACAACTTAGAATATTGATAATTACATTTTCACTTCTCCAAGTATTTCTCCAAGTAAAAGAAATAAGAATTAAGAAATCAATTTTTTTTTTTTGACAAGATAAGGCCACACATATTTTTGTATTAGAATCAAACTTGACCCAACTTCTTCTCCAACAACTTATAAAATTCAAATTCACAGATTCGAAGGCCCATTTTTCCTTTCTCCAAGGCAAATTTTGGAAGCCCACATTTTCTTCTCTAAAACCTTGATGGCCCATCATAAATAAGCATATCTTTATACATTTTGGCAAACCCTATTCTTAGCCCCCTCTCTCTTTCTAGAAATAACACCGCAGAGCTTCGGCTTTCTTGGCTCTTCATCGAAGACTACTGTTGCCAGCCCTCTTCTTTCTTTCTTCGTTACTTCGGCCAAGCCTTCACACCGCCGCTGCTGTTATGGATCATCACCGACACCAACTCATCTACAACACCACAGCCGCTGTTGCCTTACGTCACCAGCTCACGCTATCACTAGCCCAGCTGGTCACTGGAGACCCACAAACCACCGTCGTCGGCCTACGCGAGAGTCAGCCGTGGCACTGTTCTTTGCACGCGACCACCCAATTCGCGTAGCTTGTGCGCTTTATGTCCAGCACCTGTGACATCGCGGCTTCTGTCAGTCGCGACCGGCCAGTGCCGACCACGTCGCCCTCGCAACGCGTCGTTGGTTCGTCTAGCACCCTTCTTACACAGATCTCAGCCTTGCTTTGCTCTTCTGTTCCAAACACTGTCTACTTTGCCACTGCCGATCAGCGCCGTTACTTCATCACAGCAATGTCCTGCCGAGCGCCGTTCACCGCGTCATCGGCCTTCAAGAGAACCAGCCGCAATCTCGCCACCTTTCGTGGACAATCTTGACCTATGGCTTATGCCATTTGCTGCTTCTTACTTCCTTTAGCTAAATCTTCATTAAAATAAGAGAGAACAACATAGACCCAGACTTCAACATTTTTTTTTTTTAAAAGACTCTGTTAAACCCATATTAATTGTTTGGCCATTGAGAGAAAAGAAATGCTCTGATATTGAATTTTGCTAATCTTTGTTTTACTGGGGTAGCTGAATCACCGAGCTTAAACATAAATATCTGTTGATAATGCTTGATAAAATACATTTTGAATCCTCACTTGGGATCTGAACTATACTGATGTTGAGACTTGTTAAATCCGAGAATGATGAAATTTTACTGCTCACTTATGTGTTTGAACCACTGTTACTAAATCTTGAACTCATGTTGACAAATCTAACATAAATAGGATATTTGATGCTTGCATTGAAATATTGATGTCCAGGGTAGAGATGTGATAGGAATGATGTCATGCTTGATGCCTTGCGCCAAGACCAAACCAGCCTACCATCGGCTTCTCTTTGCTGAAACTCTTCCTCCGGCTTCGACGGTCCAATGCAAACCACACACGTTCGCCCTCTCAACGCAACGTGTGTGGTTGCTGACTCTTCTATGGTACCAGCGTTGCTTCCGGCTTCAACTTGTCTGAGGCCGACCACCCACGTTCGCCCACTCAACGCAACGTGTGTGGTCTTGCCAAGCCTAGCCCAGTCTTGTTGATCTTGATCGATGCCGACTTCGCTACGTCTTCAACACTGCCTTCGTCCTCAACTGTCCAACGCCGACCACGCACGTTCGCCCACTCAACGCAACGTGCGTGGTCTTGCCCAGCCTAGCTCAGTCCTGTTGATTACAGTCTATAAAACCTTTCTGATTTCAACTTGAATTGCCAACATCGGCTTCGGACTTCACCCCTCTAACAGTCCCAAATTTGTGAGTATGAAATTCGGCTCCCTCTTCCTCTTGTTGAATATATAAATATATTTATCACTCCATGTTTGATAGTATTGAAAGGAGTAGAACAAACAAAAATTTGTTGTTGTTGTTGATACTCGATGGAATGATTTCAGTAATGAAACTCGTAATGTTGAATATAAATTTTGTTATCGAATGATTGATTGTTGTAACCCCGAGAATATTAGATATCATGTTTGAACTCCTGATGTAGAATTCATCGTAGGACTTGTTGATATGATGAAATACCTCGTTGAATAATAAAGATGATATATTGTTGTTTGTTTAACTTGTGGATGCTTGAGAAATA